CCTGCAGGGGGAGGGAGACCTGGAGCCCCCACCCGGGCTTCAGGAGGGGGGAATTGGGGTGGGGGCCGGGCTGACCCCAGGTTTGCCCCCCCAGAACGGCCAGCGCGGGCGGATGGACAGAGGGAACTCCCTGCCCAGCATGCTGGAGCAGAAGGTGAGCGGGGCTTAAATGGGATTGGGGGGGTGCTGGATGGGGCTGAGTGGGGGCTTGGGTTGGGGTCAGGGGGATTGGATGGGGCTGGGGATGTTTGATGGGGTCAGGGGGTCTTGGAGTGTCTTGGGTGGGGCTGGGGCGGCTTGGGAGGGGCTTGGATGGGGTCAGGGGAGGCTCTCACAGCCCCATGTCCCCCCTGTTAGGAAAATTAACCCACAAACACCAGAGGTTCGTGTCCAAAAAGGAGACAGAGGAGTCCTTTGGCTTTATTCCAATCAAGGCAGAGGCCATGGGGTCCCTCCAAGTTTTGGAGGATGCAGCCTCCCTTTTAATCCCCATTTCCAGCCACATTTCCCTTCTCTCTTTCCCCATTTCTGAGGTACTTGAGAGGTTCAGACCTCCCAATACACCTGATCCCAAAGATTCCCCTCTAATGTATAACCCTCCCTTTTAATTTTTAATTCTTATTGAATTTAGGGACTTTTCCCCATTTGTGAGATACTTGAGAGGTTCAGACTCTCTAGAACACCTGATATTGAAGATTCCCTTCTAATGTATAAAACCCTCCTTTTATATTTTAGTTCTTACTGAATTTAGGGGGTTTTCCCCATTTTTTCCCCACCTGAGAGGTTCAGACTCCCCAGAACACCTGATCCCAAAGATTCCCCTCTAATGTATAACCCTCCCATTTCATTTTTAATTCTTATGGAATTTAGAGGGTTTTCTTCCCCATTGTTTCTTTCATCTTTGAATATCCAATTTCATTTCTCAGCAAACCTAAAATCAGTTTACTTGTAAAAAATCAGTTTATTTATAAAAGCAAATATCTCTTTTTCCATTCATCAATCAGTGGAATCCTTCCCATTGTTTCTTTTCTCTCCCAGTGCTGGTTTTATCAGCCCCACACTTTGTTCATAAACCCAACTCCCCCATTTCTCTCCCCCTTTTTGCAGATCTACCCCTACGAGATGCTGATGGTGACGAACCGAGGCCGAGTGAAGCTCCCGCCCGGCGTGGACAGGACCAGGCTGGAGGTGGGGCTGTGTCATTGTCACCCTCAGGGGGTTCCGGGACTGTCACCGTCCCCTCTCAGTGTCACCACCCCCTGTCTGTGTCACCAACCTCTATTGGTGTCACCATCCCCTGTCTGTGTCACCATCCTCCAGCTGTGTCACCGTTGCCTATCCATGTTACCGTCTCCTGTCCATGTCACCGTCCCCTGTCCATGTCACTGTCCCCTATCTGTGTCACCATCCCCTGTCCGTGTCACTGTCCCCTGTCTGTGTCACCGTCCTCTGTCCGTGTCACCGTCCCCTATCTGTGTCACCAACCTCTGTCCATGTCACCGTCCCCTATCCATGTCACCATGCTCAATCCGTGTCACCCTCCTCTGTCCATGTCACAATCACCTGTCCGTGTCACCGTCCTCCGGGTGTGTCACCACCCTCTATCCGTGTCACTGTCCCCTGTCTGTGCCACCATCCCCTATCCCTGTCACCAACGTCTATCTGTGTCACCATCTCCCGTCCATGTCACTAATCTCTGTCCGTGTCACCATGCTCTATCTGTGTCACCATCCTCTGAGTGCGTCACCGTCCCCCGTCCGTGTCACCGTCCTCTGCCTGTGTCACCATCCTCTATCCGTGTCACCCTCCTCTGTCCGTGTAACCGTCCCCTGTCCATGTCACCAACATCTATCCGTGTCACCGTCCCCTGTTGGTGTCACCGTCCCCTGTCCACGTCACCATCCTCTATCTATGTGACCATCCCCTGTCCGTGTCACCATCTCCTGTCCCTGTCACCATCTCCTGTCCGTGTCACCATCGTCTGTCAGTGTCACCATGCTCTATCCGTATCACCCCCCCGTCCGTGTCACCGTCCCCTGTCCGTGTCACCCTCCTCTATCCGTATCAAGCCCCCCTCTGTATGCGTCACCCTCCTCTATCGGTGTCACCCTCCTCTATCCGTGTCACCATCCTTTATCCATGTCACCATCCCGTGTCCCCTCCCCTGCAGCGCCACCTGTCCCCCGAGGATTTCCTCAAGGTGTTCGAGATGTCGCCGGAGGAGTTCGGCAAGCTGGCGCTGTGGAAGCGCAACGAGCTGAAGAAGAAAGCCTTCCTCTTCTGAGCCCTCCTCCTCCTCCTCGGGCCAGCTCCGTCCGTGTCGCACCGTGGAATCGCTTCAGGGCTCCCCAGCCGGTTTTTATTGGGGTCCCCCCCACAGCTCTCCTCCAGCCCCCCAAATTTGTGCCCCCCCAAATCTGTGCCCCCACAAATTTGCGCCCTCCAAATCTGTGCCACCCGCCTCAGTCCTGGGGGTTTAGGGGGCATCAAACCTGCCTGGCATGGGGGAATGGGGGGGATTGAACCTGCCTGGCACGGGTTGGGGATTGGGGGGCTCCAACCTGCCTGGCACGGGGGAATGGGGGGGATTGAACCTGCCTGGCATGGGGAGATGGGGGCATCGAACCTGCCTGCCATGGATGGGGCTGGGGACATCGAACCTGCCTGGCATGGGGAGCTGGGGGGCACAAACTTGCCTGGCACGGGGAGATGGGGGCATCGAACCTGCCTGCCATGGATGGGGCTGGGGAGGTACCAACTTGCCTGGCACAGGGGGCTGGGGGGCTCCAACCTGCCTGGCATGGGGAGATGGAGATGGGGGCATCGAACCTGCCTGGCACAAGGGATGGGGGGCTCCAACCTGCCTGGCATGGGGAGATGGAGATGGGGGGCTCCAACCTGCCTGGCACAGGGGGAAGGGGCTTGGGGAGATCGAACCTGCAGCCCCTGCCCCATGGTGGGCACGGTTCGGTTGAGGGGGTCTCTGGGCTTTGTGCCCCTCTTTTACCCCCCCGGGAATGTGCCTGGCTCTGCTTTCAGCCCCCTGGCTCTGCTGAGGTGGTGCTGGGGGGTTCTGCTGCCCCCATCTCCCACCCCGAGGTGCCCCCCAAGTGCCCCTGTGCCCACCCCGAGGCTTGGGAAGAGCCCACACTGCCAGACCAACAAAGCCAGGCCCAAATCCCAGCTTAACGCCCCCTCCCACCCTGCAGCCCCCCAGCTCTGTCCCCCCCGGTCCCCCCTGTGCCAGGAACTGCAGAGGGGAAACCAAGGACACACTGCCAACCCCCCCAGCTCCGGGCTGGGCAGAGGGGCAGGGGGGGCACCCCGGGGGTGGCAGAGAGGGGGTGGGGGGGACCCTGGGGCATCTCCAGCCGTGGATGGGGGGGATGCAGGGGGTGATGATTTGGGGGGCACAGGAACAATGATTTGGGGGCACTGGGGTGATGATTTGGGGGGCACAGGAGAGCACTGGAGTGATGATTTGGAGAGCACTAGAGCGATGATTTGGGGTGCACAGGAGGGCGCTGGGGTGATGATTTTGGGGGCACTGAGGTGATGATTTGTAGGGCACTGGGGCAATGATTTGGGGGGCGCTGGGGTGATGATTTGGGGTGCACAGGAGCGATGATTTTGGGGGCACAGGAGAGCACTTGAGTGATGATTTGGGGGGCACTGGGACGATCATTTGGAGGGCACTGGAGTGATGATTTGGGGGGCACAGGAGGGCACTGGGGGAATGATCCGGAGGGCACAGGAGGGCGCTGGAGTGATGATTTGGCCACGGAACCGGCACGGATGGACTGGAGCAGGGCACGGCTCGATGGGCACCGTGCCCGCTCTCCAGGGCTGGCCACTGTCCCTGTCCCCTCCCGGACAAGGCTCGGCACCGGGCAGCACCTTCCCTTCCCTTTCCCCTCTCCAGGCACACGTTTTGGGCAGGACCCCTCTCTCCCCGCACCCCCCGACCCCTCCACGCTCCCCGGTTTTTGTTTCCAGCCACTTTCCAGCCGCTAGACCTTGTTGGGATGTAAAGAATGTAATTTATCGGGAATTCACTGGCCCATACTTGCCTTTCACTGCTACAAACGACATATCTATAAATATATATATAAATATGGGTTGTTTTCGGACTGGACTACAGTGATTCACTTTCTCTGTTTTTGTTAGAGTTTATTTTATTTGCTGGTGTCGGAGAATCCGCGTGAGAGTGATTTTTTGCTTACAATTAAAGGTGAAATGGCTTTATCCAGCCCGGCTCCGCAGATTTGCTTCCCCCCTCGTCCAAAAATCCCCCCGGGCCCGCGGCCGGGTCCCTGCAGATGGCGGTGCTGCTCCGAGGAGGACGCGGAGCCTTCCCCGCCTTCCTCCCGCCCCGGCCGGGCTGCGCTGGGGGCCCGCAGGGCGTGTGCGAGCCGAGCCGGGCCGGGACAGCGCGGGCCCGGTCCCGGTGCCCATCCCGGTACCGATCCCCATCCCCCTCCCGATCCCCATCCTAATCCCGATCCCTGTCCCGATCCTGGTTCCGGTACCGATCTCGGTCCCGGTCTCGATCCCGATCCCTGTCCTAATCCTGATCCCCATCCCAGTCCCGACCCCGATCCCGTTCCCCGTCTGGATCCCGATCCTGATCCCTGTCCCAATCCCCATCCTGGTTTAGGTTCCGGTACCGATCCCGATATCGATCCCGGTCACTGTCCTGAACCTGAACCCAATCCCGATCCCTGTCCTAATCCTGATCCCGGTTCCGGTCCTGGTCCCGATCCCTGTCCTAATCCTGATCCCTGTTTTAATCCCGATCTCGGTCCTGGTCCCAGTCCTGATCCCTGTCCTGATCCAGATCCCTGTCCCGATCCCAATCCCAATCCTTGTCCTGATCCTGATCCCCTATCTCGGTCCAGATCCCGATCCCTGTCCTAATCCCGCTCCGGATCCCGATCCCCATCCCGGTTCCGGATCCCAATCCCGATCCCAGTCCCCATCCCGGTTCGGATCCCGATCCCGATCCCGGTCCCGGTCCCGGCGCGATGTGACCGCTCCCGCACCATGTCCCGGCAGCGAGGTACGGGGAGGGGGCTCCAAAGGGATGCGAGGCCGGGGGGCACCAACACAAACCCGGGGGGAAAAAGGGGGCTCAGCCCTGGGGGAGGCTGTGGGGGTGCCCGTGGGGGCAGGGAAGGGAAAAAGGAGTTCGGGAAAAGAGGAGGGGGTGAAATGAGGGGGTGGGGGGCGCGGGGGGAAAAGGGGTCGGAGCTGGAGGGGAAGGAGGGATCGAGGTGTCCCCCTGACATTGGGGTGTCCTCCCGACATTGGGGTATCCCCCCGACATTTGGGGCACCATGGCAGGGTAGGGGGGCCACAGCGCCCCTTTCCAGCGCCCTCCCAGGGGCAGTTTGGGGGCGCAGCAGCCGCGGGGGGAGCGTCCCCACCCTGCAGCCGTGGCCTGGAGCCTCCGCACATGACGAGTCACGCTGTGGCCGCTGTGGAGCAGCTCCCGCAGCCTCCTCTGAGTCATCCCGCGCTGGGCCCGAGCCACCCCCGGGTCACCCCCGCACGCCCCGATAAAACCCCAAAAAGCTGCCCCGAATCGCGTTGGCATCACCCGGGCACCGCCGTTCCCATGGCATCCCCGGGGCCGCGAGGATAAGGATGATGAGGAAGCCACAGTGCTGTTGGAGCTTTGCTAGGAGACGCTCTGTGTGTGTGTTTGGGGGGCGTTTTCCTCCCGCCCCGCAGATGTTTTCCATCCCGGCCGCTTTCCCTTGGCACGGCGGGGGGCACCGGGCAGCAGGCCAGCGCTCAGGGCAGCCCCTGTACGGGCTGCGGGCACGGCTGGGCACGGCTGGGCACGGATCGCTGCCCCAGCGGGCGGGGGGCAGCGCGGGGGCGGCGCAGCGAGGGCAGAAGGGTGAGAGAGAGGACGGAGATGTCATTGCCGAGGAATTCAGCCTGGGCGGAGGAGAGCACGAAGGGAGGGAGGGAGAGGACGAGCCGGGCGCCCTGGCCAGGGGGGGACAGTCCCCGTGTGCCCCGCAGGTCCCTCCAGCCCGGCCCTGCCCCAGCCCCCGCCGCTTTCCCCGCAGGGAGCGCTTCCCCCCCGTCCCTGCCCCGGTTTCCAGGGAAATCCAGATGTTTCGGCCCCGCTCCGGCGTTGCTCGGCCCGGACTCAGCGCTGCCAGATGTTTCCTCTCCCCCCGGGCTGGGTGTGGGCTCCGCGGCCGGGGATGCGTGGAGGGGACGGGGGACCCCCGTGCCAGCAGCTCCGGGGTGGGGAGGGGGCTTCACCCACCCCGGGACACGCGTGGAAGGGGGGATTCCTTTCCCCTCCTCACCCATGGGGTGCCAGCACTGTTTTGGGGCGCACCACATCCCCGTTAACCCAGAGAAATTCGGGATTCATCCCCCTTTATCTGGATAAATTTGGGATTCATCCCTGGAGAAATTTGAGATTCATCCCCATTAACCTGAAGAAATTTGGAATTCATCCCTGTTAACCCAGAGAAATCTGGGATTCATCCCAGTTAACCCAGAGAAATTTGTGATTCATCCCTGTTAACCCAGAGAAATTTGGGATTCATTCCCGTTAACCCAGAGAAATTTGGGATTCATCCCTGTTAAGCTGAAGAAATTTGGTATTCATCCCTGTGAACCCAGAGAAATTTGGGATTCTTCCCCGGAGAAATTTGGGATTCATCCCTGCTAACCCAGAGAAATTTGGGGTTCATCCATGTTAACCTGTCCCTGCCCTCGGCATTTCAGCCTTCATCAGCTGCTCCAGCCTGCCAGGGCTCCTCTTCCTCCTCCTCATCCTCCTCCTCCTCCTCTGCACGTGCAGCAGCAACCGGGAAAAAACCGGGAGCAAACCGGGAACAAACCGGCTCTGTCAGGGCAACAGAGGAGCCTTCATCCCCGCAGGGCCCCCTCCTCATCCTCCCCTGGTGCCCCCGCGCCCATCAATGGCCGGATTGTGCCCGCCTGGGGCAGGTGCCACAGCAGGGCAGGGCTGGTGGGACCGGGCACGTACTCCCGGTGGCATCAGGGACACCCTATGGCATTGGGGACACCCCATGGCGTTGGGGACCCCTCACGGCATCAGGGACACCCCTTGGCATTGGGGACATCCCACAGTATCGGGGACAGCCCCATGGCATCAGGGGACTCCCTATGGCATCCAGGAGCCCTCATGGCATCGGGGACACCTCCATGGCATCGGGGACACACCCATGGCATCGGAGACACCCCACAGCATCAGGGACCCCCTATGGCATTGGGGACACCCCTAAGGAATTGGAGACCACTCATGGCACAAGGGACACCCCCAAGGCTTTGGGAACACCCCCATGGCATCGGGGACCCTCCATGGCATCAGGGACACCCCCATGACGCGGGGGCACCCCATGATATCAGGGGCCCCTCCATAGCATTGAGGACCCCCCTAGCCGTGCCCAGTGTGGGTGCCAGGGCTGGGCACCCCTGCCTGCATGGCGCTCCGGGTTGCGGTGTCACATCTCTGTCACTGTCACTGTCACTGTCCCCTGCAGACCTGGACAAGCTGCTGTCGGACCTGCGCTCCTTCCTGCTCCTCCTGGACCGCGAGAGCCTCAGCGCTGCTGCTCGGGCCAAGAAGAAATCGGTGTGGGAGCTGCTGGGGCGGCTGCAGGGCCCGGGTGAGTGCGGGGCTGGGGGTGCAAGGATTTGTATCTTGTACTGGATTGGTTAGTGAGAATTAAAATATTCAACACAGAAGAAGATTTATTGCATTGGAACAGGAACCTCGCTCTCTTACCCCTTTTGTTCTCTTACCCTTTTACTCTCTCACCCTCTCATCCTCTCCTCCTCTCTTCTCTCGGGCCTGCTCCGAGCTGTGCCTGGCAGCTCCCAGCAAGGCCCTGCACCCAGGCCCTGTGCAATAAACCCCCAGTTTCAAGCCCAGAAGAAGATTTATTGTATTGTAACAGGAACCTTGCCCTCTGATCCTCTCTTTTACTCTCTCTTTCTCTCTTTACCACCCTCTTGTCTTCTCTCTACCTCTCTCTCCCTCTTTGGGGCTGCTCTGAGCTGTGCCTGGCAGCTCCCAGCAGGGCCCTGCACCCAGGCCCTGTGCAATAAACCCCAAATTCCATGATCAAAAGAAGATTTATTGTATTGTAATGGGAACTTTTCTCTCTCATTGTGTTTACCACTCTCTTTACCTGTCTTTCTCTCTTTCTGGCCTGCTCTGAGCTGTGGCTAACAGCTCCCAGCAGGGCCCTTTGCAATAAACCCCAAATTCCACCACCTGGCTGCAGAGATCTCAAATCTCCATCCATCCCCACCATCCTACCCCTGACACTCCCACAAGGATGGGGTGGAGAGGGTTATTAGGGTTAGGAGTATGAACGTGTTTAGGACTAATGACAGGTCCCTGACTGTCCCTTGGCCTTGCCCCCTTGCAGCAGAGGATGCTGAGTACATGATCATGCGCTGCCTCTCGCCCTCCCCAGGGCCTCAGCAGGGCCAGGCCAGCCCGGGTGAGTCCCACCAATCCAATCTCCTCCTTCACGCGTGTTCTGGGGGGTCCCTGACCCCTCAGCACCCCAGCACGGAGCTGCTTTTCCCCACAGGCTCCGGGAGCGCAGATGCAGCGGGAGGCAGAGCCCGGCTGGGCCCTCACGGAGAGGTGAGAGGGGAAACGAGGGGCTGGGGGGGATCAGGGGGGCTCAGAGGGGTGAGAAAAGGGGCAGAGAGGGGCTGGAGGGCCTCAGGGGTGTGGGAGAGGGGGCACCGAGGGGCTGGAGGGCTCAGTTGGGCACTGAGAGGTTTGGGGGGCTCAGAGGGGTGGGAGAGGGGGCAGTAGGATCTGGGGGGCTCAGAGGGGGCAGAGAGGGGCTAGGGGGTTCAGAAGGTTGGGAGAGGGGGCACTGAGGGAGCTCAGGGGGTGAGAGAGGGGGCAGCAGGGGCTGGGGACCTCAGGGGGGTGGCAGAGGGGGCACCGAGGGCCTTGGGGGCTCAGGTGGGCACTGAGGGGTTTGGGGGGCTCAGGGGGGTGGGAGAGGGGGCACCGAGGGGCTGGGGGGGTTCAGGGGGTTCGAGAGGAGCACTGAGGGGGCTCAATAGGGTGGGAGAGGGGATACTGAGGGGCTGAGGGGCTCAGGGTGGGCAGCAGGAGCTGGAGGGCTCAGGGGCTGGGAGAGGGGGGCCCATCCCATGCCCGGGATGGAACTGCTGGCCAACCTTGCTGGCAGCGAGAGTCCAACCAGACCTGAAGGTTTTTTGGTGCCCACCTGTCCCCGGACCCTGCGAGGTTCCCCGGGTGGGACAGCACCTTTGGAACCGCTTTGTACCCCCAGAACAAGGAGTTGGGTGCCCCCCCAAGACCCCCAAACCCTCCGTCCCTTCCAACCGATGACTCCTACGAGGACACCGAACCCCCCGGGCACGGCAGCACCGGTGAGATCCCCCCGCGCCCCCTCCCCAGCGCCCCCCACCCTCCCAGCCCTGACCCCATCCCCGCTCCCAGGCGGCGGCGACAGCGACAGCAGCCACTACGAGTCGTACGGAGAGGAGGAAGAGGAGGAGGAGGAGGAAGGGGTGAAGGACCGGGCTCATTACCTGCGCTCCAGCAGCGAGGCCGAGCCCCCCGGGCGCCCCGAGCCGCAGCTCTGCGGGTTCCTCTGGAGGAAGCGCTGGCTGGGACAGTGGGCAAAGCAGCTCTTCATCGTCAGGGAGCACGTGCTGCTGGTGAGGAGGGTGGAGGAAGGCGTAGAGGGGGGAGATGGAACAGGAAAGCCTTATCAATATGATTGTCTGGCAAAATATTTTGAGAATATGGAAATTATAAGCGAGATTGAAATGAAAGCAAGCTTTGAGATCCCTCAGTTACTGAACAACTGGAAAACAATGGTGTGGCTGGCTGAAGGTGATCCCCTTTTGATGGAACAACACCCTCTGCTTGCAGACAGCTCCAAGGCTCAGAGCAGACCCTGCCAGCTTGGCAGAAGGAGCCCAAAGAGGAGTTTTTAGGGTTTAAAATGTAACAGAGTGTGGGAATGTAATGATTCTTATAGGCTGTATGGAAATGCTGTAGGATTTGTATCTTGTACTGGATTGGTTAGTGAGAATGAGAATATTCAACACAGAAGAAGATTTATGGTATTGGAACAGGAACTTCTCCCTGGTACCCCTTTTACTCTCTTACCCTTTTTTAGTCTCCTACCCTCTCATCCTCTCTACCCCTTTCTTCTCTCAGGCCTGCTCCAAGCTGTGCCTGGCAGCTCCCAGCAGGGCCCTGCACCCAGGCCCTTTGCAATAACCCCAAGTTCCAAGCCCAGAAGAAGATTTACTGTATTGTAACAGGAACCTTGCTCTCTGATCCTCTCTTTTACTCTCCCATTCTCTCTTTACCACGCTCTTGTCTTCTCTCTCTTTACCTCTCTCTCCCTCTTTGGGGCTGCTCTGAGCTGTGCCTGGCAGCTCCCAGCAGGTCCCTGCACCCAGGCTCTTTGCAATAAACCCCAAGTTCCATGACCAGAAGAAGATTTATTGTATTGTAATGGCAACTTTTCTCTCTCATTGTGTTTACCACTCTCTTTACCTCTCTTTCTCTCTCTTGGGCCCGCTCTGAGCTGTGCCTGGCAGCTCCCAGCTGGGCCCCTTTGCCATAAACCCCAAATTCCACCACCTGCCTTCAGAGATCTCTCATCTCCCTCCATCCCCACCATCCTACCCCCTGACACTCCGACAGCCATGGAGGGGTCTCTGTGCCCCCTCCGTGCCCCCCTGACCCCGCTGTGCCCCTTCAGTGTTTCAGGTGCGCCGCTGACCTGCAGCCCGTGCTGGAGCTGGACCTGCGCGGCTGCCGCGTCACCGCCAAGGAGCATCGAGGCAAGAAGATGCCGCACGCCCTGAAGGTTACAGGGACAGCAGGAGAGGTGCTGGTCATCGGCTTCCAGAGCCGGCAGCAGGCCGAGGACTGGAGGAAGGTTTGGAGGTGTTGCAGCCGGGCAGGAGCGGGGTGGGCAGGGGGATGCCGCTGGCTGGGGGCTTTGTATGTCGCAGACATCTTTTATAGAAAATCCTTTCCTTAAGATTTTTTCCTTCTGAGAAGCTGAGAGGCCTCAGGAACAAAATGTAAGCAATGGTTATCTGCTGCTGTGGAATGCAACAGGTGGATCTTTGATTAGCTCATGTTGGATGTTTGTAATTAATGGCCAATTACAGCCCAGCTAGCTTAGACAGAGAGCCGAGCCACAAACTTTTGTTATCATTCTTTTCTATCCTATTCTTAGCCAGCCTTCTGATGAAACCTTTTCTTCTATTCTTTTAGTATAGTTTTCATGTAATATATATCATAAAATGATAAATCAAGCCTTCTGAAACATGGAGTCAGATCCTCATCTCTTCCCCAGTCAGAAAACCCCGGTCACACTGTGTACACATCACAAACGGGACAGGACTGCTGGGAACGAGCCTTGAGCTGTTTGATTTTCCAGCATCAGCCTCATTCCATGGTTATGACAATGGGAAGATGCCACCAGCTCACATCCCAGGCAGGAGACCCAGAATTTAATGTTACAACTCACTTTATAAGTTTTTTGACTGATCACACAAAGCAAAAGCACATTGACAGCAGTTCTGTCCAACCACGATGAGCACAGGTACCTTTGGTTAAAACAATGCTTGATTATTTCGAATATAATGCTTACTTGTAAGCCTTAAAACACAACACACAGAGCTCCATTATTAAGCTTCCAACTTCCTAATATCTCACTAGATAAACTTTTCTGTAGCTTAGGGAGTTATTCAGACAAGCGTTAATACACAGACCATTGTTCTATTTGTCCTTGCTTTTCTACATTTTACATAATTTTTCTGCTGACCAATCTCATGGCTGCTGCTCAGCTCTTGTCACAGTTCTGCTGCCTCTGAAGCCTTTTGCAGCTTTCCCAAAACCCTCTGATTTTGTGGCTTCCCACAGGGGAAGTGGGGGTGTGGCCCCACTCTGGTGCTTCCAGGGTGTGTCCCCATTCCTTTCTCGGGGTTGTGAGGAGCGTTTTCAGCTGCAGCACTGCCCGTTTCGCCCGGCAGGTGATCGAGGAGGTGAGCAGCGATGCCCCGAGCGGGCTGGCGGCGCTCAGTGTCCCGGCGTCACCTTCCTCGAGGCTCAGCAGGGTGAGTTTGTCCCCAGGGAAACCCAGGAACGGCTCAGGAATGCACCCCGACCCCTCATCCCGTGCTCCTTTTGGGGAGGGGGTCAGGAATGCACCCCAACCCCAAATCCTGTGCTCCTTTTGGGGTGAGGGTCAGGAATGCACCCCAACCCCATATCTGGGCTCCTTTTGGGGGAGGGGGTCAGGAATACACCCCAACCCCTCATCCCATGTTCCTTTTGGGGAGGGGGTCAGGAATACACCCCAACCCCAAATCCCGTGCTCCTTTTGGGATCAGGGTCAGGAATACACCTCAACCCCTCATCCCATGTTCCTTTTGGGGAGGGGGTCAGGAATACACCCCAACCCCAAATCCCGTGCTCCTTTTGGGATCAGGGTCAGCAATGCACCCCAACCCCTCATCTGGGCTCCTTTTGGGGAGGGGGTCAGGAATACACCCCAACCCCGAATCTCGTGCTCCTTTTGGGGTGAGGGTCGGGGTGCAGGGGGCTCAGACCCCACCGAGCTGGGTTCTCATCCTGCCGCACCCCAGCTCGGCAAGGAGGAAGAGGAGGATGAGAATCGCTGCCGGCAGAGCCCTGCACGCAGCCCGCGGCACGGAGAGGACGCCAAAGGAGGTGGGAGCTGCAAAAGGGCCGGGGTTTGGGGGGTTCTGCCCTCGGGGGGGCTGCGAGGGGTTAGTAATTAATCGATTGTCTCTAGGGATGGTAATAGAGAGCTGGGAATGTTATTGAGATGAGGGTTACTGGGATTCCTAGGAAGGATGGGCTTGAAAATTGGTCAAAGAAGCTTCAGTTCATGGCCAGGTTCAGGGGGTAGAGCTTGGAGCGATGGGTGGTTTGCTAGAGGGGGGATTTATTGATACCAATGACAGAAGTTTGGGTCGGATAATTAAAGAGAAAGTGAGCCACGAAGCGAGCATGATAAAAAATCAGGCGCTGGGGTTTAGTTGAGGCAAATCATTAAGGAAAGGGAAAACCCTCTTTATTTAGCTTAAAAGGCTAATGCTGGTTCATAGTTTCTTAATGGTTAGGGTGATATTAGAGAGGATCAGCTTTCAAAATTGGCTAGTGGGGTTCGGGGGGTGCTGTCCCCCAGTGGCGGCTGCAAAAGGGCCGGGGTTTGGGGGGGACTGCGAGGGGCCGGTGGTCGGGGGGTGCCAAAGGAGGTGGGGGCTGCAAAGGGTCGGGATTTGGGGGTGCTGCCCTTGGGGGGCTTGCGAGGGGCCGGGGTTTGGGGGTGCTGCCCCCATGGGGGTTGTAAAGGGCCGGGGTTCGGGGCGTGCCTGTGAGGGGCTGGGGTTCGGGGGGTGCCTCTCCCGGTAGGGGCTGCAGAGAGCCGGGATTTGGAGGCGCCGCTGACCGGGGTTATGAGGGGCCGGGGTTTGGGGGTGCCCGAATGCCCCCCGTGCCCGCTGACCGGGGTGCCCGCAGGGTTCCTGGCCGTGCGGCTGCGGGGCCGCTGGCAGCGCCTGTGGTGCGCGGTCCGGCACGGAGCCCTGCGCATGTTCCCCGAGCCCGGCGGTGCCCAGCGCCCCGTGTGCGCCCTGCGCCTGGACGGCTGCGAGGTGACCCCCGGGGCGGCCGCCGGGTCCCCCCAAAACCTCCGGATCCGAATCGCCCAGCGCGGCCGGGAGCTCGCCCTGCTGCAGGTGAGGGACACCAGGGTACCCCCTGTCACTGCTGGGGGGCACCTGCACCCTGTCTAGGGGGGCACCCCTGAGCCCAGACCCTGCCCCAGGGGCACCCATGAGTCCAGACCCTGCCCTGGGGCACCCATGAACCCAGACCCTATCCAGAGGTGCCCCCTGAGCCCAGACCCTGCCTGGGGGCACCCCTGACCCAGACCCTGCTCTGGGGCACCCCCTAAGCCCCAAACCTGCCCTGGGACACCCCTAAGCCCGGACCCTGCCCCAGGAGCACCCCCTGAGCTCAGACCCTGTCCTGGAGGTGCCCTCTGCACCCAGACCCTGCCCTGGCAGACACCCCCTGAACCCAGACCCTTCCCTTTGGGGTACCCCTCAACCCGGAACCTGCCCCGTGGGCACCCCCTGAGCCCAGTCCCTGCCCCCCCAGGCCCGTTCTGACGAGGAAAGGGAAGCGTGGCTGAAGACCCTGCAGGCCAGGGGAGGAGCGGAGCCAAAGAAGGGCGGTGGGCCCCCCCCGAGACCCCCCAGGCCGAGCACCTGCCCCGCTGCCGGGTAAGGACCTGGGGACCCCCCGGCCCTCCCGCTCCGGGCGGGGTTTGGGGGTAACGCGACCTCTCTGCCCTCAGGGGGCTGCTGCTGCGCCGGGTGCCCACCCCCAACGCCTACATGGACGATCCCTCCGGGCAGGGACCAGCTGAGACCCCCAAACAGCTCCACTCCAACGCAGAGCGGCTGCAGCAGCTGGTAACACCTGCTCGGGGTCTGTGCCCCCCATTCCTGCCCCTCAGCGTGGGGGGATCCACTCCCACCCCCACCACCCCCTTGCCCACAGGCTTCTCCTCTTGGGCAGCAGCAGAGCCTGGACCGGGCAGCGCAGGGGCAGCGCCCGAGAGCCGCGTCTGCTGTGCCCAGCTGTGCCAGCAGCAATGCCCTGGAGGGTGCCCGGCCCGGGCAGGCAGGTGAGAGGGGCGGGGTGTGCCCACCTTCCCCAGGCCACGGACGGGCATGGGAGAGGGGATTTCTCCATGAGGGCTGGGATTTCTGTGTCCTTGTCCTGTTCTTCCTCCCCCCTTCCTCCTGATCACCTTTCTCTTCCTTTTCTCCCCAGTGTTCCTCCTCTGCACTGTCCCCTGAGCATCCTTCCCCTGCCCTTCCTCCCCACCATCCTTCCCCTGCCCTTCCTCCCCACCATCCTTCCCCTGCTCTTCCTCCTCAGCCTCCCTCCTCTTCCCTTCCTCCTGATTATCCTTTCTCTTCTCTTTCTCCAGACCCTCCCTGTTCTTTCCTTCCTCCTCACCCTCCCTCCTCTTCCGTTTGTTCCCACCATCCCATCCCTTCCCTTCCCTTCCCTTCCCTTCCCTTCCCTTCCCTTCCCCTTCCCCTTCCCCTTCCCCTTCCCCTTCCCCTTCCCCTTCCCCTTCCCCTTCCCCTTCCCCCTGATCAGCCTTTCTCTCCCCTTCCTCCTCACCCTCCTTCCTCCTCTCTTCCTTCTGATCATCCTTTCTCTTCCTCTGGACCCTCCCTCCTCTTCCCTTTCTCCTGATCCTCCCTTCTTTTCCATTCCCTCCCCACCATCTCCCTGCCCTTCCTCCTGACCGTGCCTCCTCTTCCCTCCCTCCCCAGCTCTCCGTGCCAGGCCTGCCAGTGCCCAGCTGCCCCAGGACAGCCCCAGCGTGCAGAGCCGGGATCTGTGCCTGTCCCAGCACACCCTGACCCTGCCCCAGAGGAGGGGGACACGGGAAGGGCTCGATGTCCTCGTCGGTAGGAGCACTCAGGGGCTCTGGGGATCTCTTCCTGCCAGCTTTTATGAGCTCTCAGAGAAATAGTTCACATCTAAAGTAGCATAAAATCAGCTGGATGGCTTCTGTACTAGTGTTAGAAACAGAAAAGTTTTAATAGAAGGCAAAATAACAAAGCTCTTTACAGAGAAAACCCGAGCTGAGGGCAAAAAGCTTTTGCTCCTAGTAAAACACCCTACATTACCCATCAGTTCTCTTCCTTTTCTAGTAAATTGCTTAAGCAAGACTTTTTAGCTTCTGTCCAATTGGCTATCCTTCAGTTTGAAGTAAAGTCTCCAAAGCCCTATAAAGTGTCTTTTTCCCAATTAAAGAGAGAAACTTCTGAGCTTTTTTCCTTTTTTAAAAAGACAAAAAATAATTTTGTCACTCCATTGTGGCATTCACATTCTCTGAAAAAATTCCTTCGCCCAGGATTTTTCTCCTGGGAAGCTGAGAAGCCTCAAAGAAAAGGAAAACAATTCTTATCTCATTTGCTTCTCCTGTGTTTTGCTTGTCTGGAATGTGTTTGGAGATTGTTTACCCACAGGTGATTGTTTCATTGGATTTGGTGTGAGTTGTTTTGACTCTTTTGGCCAATCAGGGCCAAGCTGTGTCAGGACCCTAGAAAGAGTCACGAGTTTTCATTATTATCTTTTTAGCATTGTGTAAGTATCCTTTATGTATTCTTTGGCATAGTTTTCTTTATTTTTATATTATATAGAATATGATACTGTATTATATTATTTAATATAACACAGTATTATAAAGTAATGAGAACATGGAGTCAGATGCATCATTCCACCTTTGTTGGGGCATTTCCCAGCAAATACAAAATTCTGTCAACAGATAGCACATTCCCACACTCTGGGACTGGGCACTGCCCACTCCTGGTCAGGCACTGCCCACTCCTGCCTGGGCACTGCCACTCTGTGATCGGGCACGGCCCACTCTGTGATCGGGCACTGCCCACTCTGGGGCCACACTGGGCAGGGCACTGCCCACTCTGTGGCCACTCCTGGCTGGGCACTGCCCACGCTGGGTTGGGCACTGCCCACTCTGTGGCTACTCTGGGTTGGGCACTGCCCACGCTGGGTTGGGCACTGCCCACTCTGCGGCTACTCTGGGCTGGGCACTGCCCACTCTTGGCTGGAGCAGCGGGCAGAGCTGTGGTGCCCAGCCCTGGCAGTGCTCCCGCTGTCCTTGCAGGGCACAGAGCCTTTCCCAAGCTGGAGCAGCAGGTGCAGGGGCAGCTGGAGCGGGGCGTGCAGGGCAGGCTGAGAGCCGGCTCCGAGATGAACCTGCTGAGCCTCGGGAGGTCCCTCAAGGGTCACATCGCTGCCACCGCCAGCTCGGCTGGCTCCGAGGTGGGGAACATGGAGATTTGAATTACAGGATCCCCTGAAGTACAGGCATGGTGAGGTTTGGAGGGCACCTCTCACCCTTTTTCTGCTGTTTTTCCCTCAGGGATCGTTCCTCAGGCCGCTGCTGAAGCGCACCACGTCAGCCAAGAGTGCCCTGAGGCTGCCGCCGTCCCCGGTCGTGGCGGGGAAGGGAAATGTGATGAGGAAGACAAAGGTAAATTCTGGATCAGGTGTCTGGGTTTGGAAAGCCAGGTGTCTGCTGAGGAAGGCAGGAGCCTCCCCTGAAATGGAAAATGTAAAACCCTTCCTGTGACCACGTTCACACGATGAGGGAAGAGATGAGGATCTGACTCCATGTTTCAGAAGGCTTGATTTATTATTTTATGATATATATTATATTAAAACTGTACTAAAAGAATAGAAGAAAGGATTTCATCAGAAGGCTAGCTAAGAATAGAAAAAGAAGGAATGAATAACAAAAGCTTGTATCGTGGACTCTCTGTCCAAGCCAGCTGGGCTGTGATTGGCCATTAATTAGGAACAACCACATGAGACCAATCACAGATGCACCTGTTGCATTCCACAGCAGCAGATAACCATTGTTTGCATTTTGTTCCTGAGGCCTCTCAGCTTCTCAGGATGAAAAATCCTAAGGAAAGGATTTTTCATAAAAGATGCCTGTGACACCCCCCTCCCTCCGAATTGCTATAAATTTTAAATTAAGGGTCTCTCTCAGGCAAAAATATGGGAGCAGGAATAACAGTTCTTTATTAGGGAAGAAAATAAAAGGAAAAAATAAACAATGCAGTGAACTAAACCAACACTGCCAGAGTCAGAACCCAACCTGACACCCTGTGGGTCAGGGTGTTGGCAGCAGTCCCATTGGAATTGTGGCTCAGCCCTCCTGCAGTGTCAGGGCTGGTTCTGCTGGAGCAGGGATCCTGGACAAGGGTGGAGTCTCCTCTGAAGATCCAGGGGCAGAGGCAGCTGCTGCTCCTCTGGGGAATCCAGTGGAGAAAAGCCATGCTGTTATTCCTAGAAACTCGGGATTATATCCAGGCAGGAATGCCTGGCTGGTGTTCCAGAATCCCCAGATTATATCCAGGTAGCAAAGCTTGGCTGGTGTTCCAGAATCCCCAGATTCTATCCAGGCAGGAATGCTTGGCTGGTGTTCCAGAATCTCCAGATTATATCCAGGCAGGAATGCTTGGCTGGTGTTCCAGAATCTCCAGATTATATCCAGGTAGCAAAGCTTGGCTGGTGTTCCAGAATCCCCAGATTATATCCAGGCAGGAATGCTTGGCTCCACCCTCTGGGCTCACATCTCCCAATGGGATGCTGTAGCTCTTATCAGCCATGCAGGGACATTCAGTGGCCTCTTATCAGCAGATAAGGGAGGAATAGGTGTGGAAGAGATAAGGAAAACTGCAAACTGAACAGAAGCCAGCTGCCATACAGATGGCGAACAGAACACAATTTGCTTGGCAATCCAGGACAGAAGGGTTTAGGGGATCCTACAGAACAGGGAAATGAGGGATTGACTCCCCCACATTTAATTTGTCCAGGAATGGGAGATGAAATCTGCGATGTGAGCACCACAGAGTCTCCCAGAGAACATCGGGCCGCGCGTGGATCGTGCAGGACCAGCCTGGGATCAGCCTGGAATTCCAATTTTACCCACCATATCAATGCTACCACTACGCACATCTATTTTTATATCCAGATATATCGATGCACACATATCAGCTCCCCACCTGGGGCTCTCCTGCCTCTCCCTATTGCATCCCAGCACCTCCTTTTTGGGGTGCACAACTTCAGAAGCTGCTGGCTCTGTCCACACCCCGAATTTCCAGGGATGGGTGTGGATAAACCCCGGGGGACACAGATTTATTTGGGAGGGATCCGATTGTCCATCCCTGGAGCCAGCGGGACCCGGGCTGGGCCCTGGGTGCTTTTCCAACAGCTGTGCTTGTCAGGGCTTGGTTTGAATTGGAGAAATGGTATATTTTTGTTTTTTAGAGAATTAAAAAATAAATGTTGTAAAACTTGGGTTTTATGGGAAAGGGTGAGGTGGGAAGGGGGGTGTCCTGGTCCTTATCCTGGTGAGTTCAGGCTGCATCCTGATGGAGTTTGTGGGGTCAATCCTGACCTCAGGGAAGGAGTTTATGGGGGGCATCCTGATCCCAGTGAAGGGATTTGTGGGGTTCATCCAGCGTGGGTTGATGCCTCACCCCGGTGTGAGTGGGGTTTGCTCCCATCCAGGCGTGCGGGGTCCATCCCCATCCCAGTGAAGGAGTTTGTGGGGTCCATCCCATCTCCAGGGAAGGAGTTTGTGGGGGGTATCCAGATCCTGGTGCAAGGAGTTTGTGGGGTCCATCCCCATCCTGGTAAAGGGGTTTGTGGGCTCAGCTCCGACCCCAGTGAAGGAGTTTGTGGGGTCAGTCCCAGTCCCAAGGAAGGAGTTTGTGGGGGTATCCTGATCCTGGTGAAAGGGTTTGTGGAGTCAATCCTGATCCCAGGGAAGGAGCTTGTAGGAGGTATCCTGATCCTGCTCAAAGGGGTTTGTGGGGTCCATCCCCATCCCAGTGAAGTGGGCTTTGGGGGTATCCTGATCCCGGTGAAGGGGTTTGTGGGGTCCATCCAGCGTGGGTTGATCACCCCAGTATGAGTGGGGTTTGTTCCCACCCAGGTTTGTGCGTCCATCCCCATCCTGGTGAAGGAGTTTGTGGGGTCAATCCCAACCCCAGTGAAGGAGTTTGTGGGGTCAGTCCCAGCCCCAAGGAAGGAGTTTGTGGGGGGTATCCTGATCCTGGTGAAAGGGTTTGTGGGATCAATCCCAATCCCAGTGAAGGGGTTTGTGGCGGGTATCCTGATCCTGGTGAAGGGATTTGTGGGGTCTATCCAGCGTGGATTGATGCCCTACCCCAGTGTGAGTGGGGTTTGTTCCCACCCCGTTGCCCCGGGTCCATCCCCACCCAGACCCGCCCGCGGAGCAGTTTCAGGGCAGCGCCACCTTCCCAACCCCTCCGTCCCCCGCCCTTCCCGCCGCCAGCCCGGCCCATCCCGCCGGGAGCGGCAGCGGAGCCGCCGGGGGCGGGACCGGGCGGGCGGGGGCGGGCGGGAGCGGGCGGGGCGGGAGCGGCGGGGCCGGAACGGGGCCGGGGCCGGGGCCGGGCCGGGGGTCCCAGTCATGCTCAGCCGGCTGGGAGCGCTGCTGCAGCAGGCGGTGGAGACGGTGAGCGGGGCCGGGGGGACGCGGCAGGAACGGGACCGGGAACGGGAATGGGGGGTTCCGGGGCCCCCCTGACCCCGATCCCATTGTGAGCAGCGGGAGCCCAGCGTGGACCTGCTGGAAGCCTTCACCGAGCACTGGACGGGTATCACCGGCTACTACCTGGAGGCCACAGGTGAGTGGGGTGCGAGTCCCGGTGCTCCGGGCTTGGGGTGCTTTTGTCCCGGGATGGGCTCCGTGTTTCCCGGGATCAGGTCCTTTTTGCCCGGGATGGGGTCTCAGGGGCCAATAAAGTCCTTGTGGTGTGGGAGCAGAGTTGTCGTGTCCTAGGAGAGGTCTTTGTGTCCTAAAATAGGGTGTCCTAAAAACGGGAATAAGGTCTCTGTGCTCTAATAGGGGACCCCATTCCCTGGGACACGATCCCACATCCTGGGAAGGGACCGCGTGTATTTGGAGAGAGTCCCTGTGTCCTAAACGGGGTCCCCGGCCTAGGAATGATACTGGGGCAGGGGACATGTCCCGGGACAGGACCCCGTGTCCTGGCACAAATCCCTGTCCCCTGCCATGGGATCCCGTGCCCTGGCACAGGACCCGGGTGCGCTGTGGCTGCCCTGGCACGTGGGGACGGGGACGGGACCCCCTTCCCAAATCCCGGCAGGATTTACCCACACGGGGGTCTCTCCCTGCCCAGCCCCCCTGAGCCCCCCGGGCAGCGCGGTGGGGTCGGCATGGAGGGTCTGGGGTGGCCGGGGACACTCCCGGGACAGGGACACTCCGGGACAGGCTGGGACACTCCCGGGACAGGCTGGGACTCGTCCCTCCGGTAACCCCGGGAGCGCTCCGGCCCCATTTCCCGGCGGATCCCGGTGCCCGCTCTGCCCAGGGGGCTCCGGTGCCCACCGGGGGAACGGAACGGGCGGCGGGAGGAGCGGGATGTCCGGCAGCGTCCTAGGCCGGAGCGGAAGCGGCTGCTCCATCCTCACATTGCCATCTAGCGTTGTTCCCGCTCCGGAGGAGCAGGGTTTAGGGATGGCACGGATCGGGAAGAAGCCCTGGCAGAACCCTGCTGGCACGGCTGGCACCTCAGGGGCGCCCCGCTACAGCCCCCCTGTGAACAGGGGAACACACAACCCTTGAGTCCCTGGATCCCTGAATCTCTGAATCCATGAATCTCCAAGTCCCTGCATCCCTGAATCCCTGATCTCTGAATCCCGATATCCCCGCATCCCCAAATTCCTGAATCCCCAAACCCCCGACTCCCTGGATCATTGAATTCCTGAATTCCCAGACCCCTGAATCCCTGATCCCGGAATCCCTGGGTACCTGGATCCCTGATCCCCAAATCCCAAAGCTCTGGTCCCTGAATCCCCAAACCCCTGATCCCTGAACCCCCCAATCCCCAAATCCCTGATCCCCAAACCCCACAGACGAGAGCGTCCCGGCGCGACAGACGGACATCCCGTGGCGCCTGCGGCAGATGTTGGACCCCCAAATCCCCCAATCCCCTAATCCCAGATCCCTGGATCCCTGAACCCCGAACCCTGAACCCCTGATCCCCGAATCCCCAAATCCCTGATCCCCTGATATCCAAATCCTCGACCCCCAAATCCCTGATCCCCAAACCCCGCAGACGAGAGCGTCCCGGCGCAACAGACGGACATCTTGTGGCGCCTGTGGCAGATGTTGGACCCCCAAATCCCCCAATCTCAAATCCCAGATCCCTGACCCCCTGAATTAACAAATCCCCAGATCCCTGAACCCCTGAATTCCCAAATCCCCAATCTCTGATGCCCGATCCCAAATCCCCAATCCCCGCAGACGAGAGCGTCACAGCACGACAGACGGACATCCCGTGGCGTCTGCAGCAGATGTTGGACCCCCAAATCCCCCAATCCCAGATACCTGATCTCTGAATCCCCAAACCCCCGATCCGCAAATCCCAAACCTCTGATCCCAAATCCCCAAACCCCCAATCCCCCGAATCCCCAATCCCAAATCCCCAAACCCCGCAGACGAGAGTGTCCCAGCACGACAGACGGACATCCTGTGGCGCCTGCGGCAGATGTTGGACCCCCAAATCCTCCCAGTCCCAGATACCTGAACCCCTGATCGCCATATCCCTGATCCCCAGATCCCTGAACCCCTGAATTCCCAAATCCCCCATCTCTGATCCCCGATCCCAAATCCCCAATCCCCGCAGACGAGAGCGTCCCAGCGCGACAGACGGACATCCCGTGGTATCCCCCAGTCCCAGATCCCTGAACCCCTGATCTCTGAATCCCCAAATCCCCGAATCACTGAACCCCTGAATCTCTGATCCCCAAATCCCGGAATCCCTGAACCCTCGGATCCCTGGATCCTTGAATCCCTGATCTCTGAATCGTGGTATCCCTGAATCCCCAGTCCCCAAATCCCTGATCCCTCAATCCCTGAATCCATGAATCCCTGGATCCCCGAATCCCTGAATCCCCAAATCCCCAAACCCCTGAACCCCTGAATCCCCCAATCCCAAATCCCCAAACCCCGCAGACGAGAGCATCCCGGCGCGACAGACGGACATCCCGTGGCACCTGGGGCAGATGTTGGACCCCCAAATCCCCCAATCCCTGAACCCCTGATCTGCAAATCCTCGACCCCCAAATCCCCGATCCCTGAACTCCTGAATTCCCAAATCCCCAAATCCCTGACCCCCAAACCCCGCAGACGAGAGCGTCCCAGCGCGACAGACGGACATCCCGTGGCGCCTGCGGCAGATGTTGGACATCCTGGTGCACGAGGAGCGGCAGCGCCCGCCGGGGGACACGGGGCCGTGCCTCGAGTTCCTGCTGCAGCACAAACTGCTGGAAACTCTGGGAACGCTGGGAAAGGCAGAGGTGAGCCCGGGAATCGGGAAAATCCTCGGGAGAGGCCGAACCCGCGGCCTTGCCCAGCTGCTTTACCTGCTGCCCCTCAATAATTTGAATTTTGGAGCATTTTTATAGAGAATTGGAGTTTGTGAAGTGGGAGGTGGTCACAAGGCTTGGGGATTTTTTGGGGGAAAATTGGCTTTTTTGTTAGGGGGATAATTGGCCTTTTTGGGGGAAAAGGCCCAAAAATCGGCCTTTTGGGGGAAAATTGGGTTTTTGTGAGGGAAAATTTGGCTTTTTTTGGGAGGGTCTTGGAGGTCTCAAGTTCCCCACTGGCATCCTTTCTGGGAGCTTGCACCTCAGCACATCCCTGCTTGCACAGGAAGGGTTTTTATCTGGCACACAGATAGTTTAAAAATTAAAATTAAAATTAAAACAGACATTTAAAAAATAAAAACATTTGGGGGATTATTTCCCAGCACCCCAAAACCCCAAATCCTCCTGGGTGCGAAAGGACTGGTGTGTTTCCACCTCTGTTTGAATAAAAATCAATTTCTAGGGGCCTTGTTGCTATTAATAGCAGGAAAAGGACAGCAGAGCAGTTATATTTGTTAAGTATTTGGCCAATATTTCCTTTTTTTCCACGCCTGGCACTTCATCCTGCAAAGCCAAGTAGCAGATGTTTTTAATTTTATTTTTATTTTTAATTTTTTGTTTTTATTTTTATTTGAGTTTATTTTTAGTTTTAGTTTTATTTTAGTTTATTTTTAGTTTATTTTAATTTATTTTAAAAATATCTGCGTGCCTGACTCTTTTTATTGTTTATGCTTATTTTTATTTATTTTTATTTTTAAAATATCTGTGTGCCAGACTCTTTCCAGAGTCCCGAAACAGCTTGGCCTTGATTGGCTAATGAGTCAAAATAACAAAGAAGATAAGCACATAAAACAAACACAAAATAACTCACAGCAGAACCCAATGAAACAATTACCTGTGGGTGAACAATCTCCAAACTCATTCCACATGAGCAAGACAGAGGAGAAGCAAATGAGATCAGAAGTGTTTTCCTTTTTCTCTGAGGCTTCTCAGCTTCCCAGGAGAAAAACCCTGGGTGAAGGGATTTTTCCGGAGAACGTGAATGCCACATTTAAAGGGATCTGGGGGATAGTTTGGGGTGATTTAGGGGGACACCAGGGATGTGGCTGATGGCTGTCCCCTGTCCCTGTCCCAGTACCCCCCCGGCATGAGGCAGCAGGTCCTGCTCTTCTTCAGCCGCCTGCTGGGGCAGCTGCAGCACCCGCTCCTGCACTACCTCAACGTGCACCGGCCCGTGCAGGTGAGCTGCCACCTGTCCCCGAGGGGTGACACCCACGGTGACACCGCCAGCACCCCCTCATCCCCTCCCTGCTCCCCAGAAGCTGCTCCAGCTCAGCGGGGACCGCCTGGGCTCCGGCACTGAGAGGGAGGAGGTGCAGTTCACCGCCGTGCTCTGCTCCAAGATCCAGCAGGACCCCAGCCTGCTGCCCCACATCCTGCAGGTGGGACACTGTGGGGTTTGGGCTCCAGCAGGATCCCAGCCTGCTGCCCCACATCCTGCAGGTGGGACACTGTGGGATTTGGGCTCCAGCAGGATCCCAGCCTGCTGCCCCACATCCTGCAGGTGGGACACTGTGGGGTTTGGGCTCCAGCAGGATCCCAGCCTGCTGCCCCACATCCTGCAGGTGGGACACTGTGGGGTTTGGGCTCCAGGATCCCAGCCTGCTGCCCCACATCCTGCAGGTGGGATGGTGTGGGGTCACCTGCGGGGTTTGGGCTCCAGCAGGATCCCAGCCTGCTGCCCCACATCCTGCAGGTGGGACGGTGTGGGGTCCCCAATGGGGTTTGGGCCCTCAGCCTGCTGCCCCACATCCTGCAGGTGGGACACTGTGGGGTCACCTGTGGGGTTTGGGCTCCCCCAGTTGGGGTTTTGGACCCCCTTTGCAGCCTCCTCCCGGCCATAAAGCTCCTCAGGGTGAGGAAGAGGAGGAGGAAGGTGGTGGCTGCAATGCTTTGCTGCTCCTCTTCCTCTCCAGGGAAAGAGCGTCCTGAACGGGAGGAGAGCCCCGGAGAGCCCCAGGACAGAGGGTTTGGAGCATCCCTCGGGCACCTCTGCCAGCTCCACCCCCAGAAAGGAGGATTTGGAGCATCCCTCGGGCACTGCTGCCATTTCTACCCCCAGGAAAGAGCATTTGGAGCACCCTCTGGGCACCTCTGCCAGCTCCATGCCCAGGGCAGAGAATTTGGAGCATCCCTTGGGCACCACTGCCAGCTCTGAACATTTGGAGCATCCCTCGGGCACCAATGCCAGCTCCATGCCCAGGGCAGTGCATTTGGAGCACCCCCTGGGCACCACTGCCAGCTCCACGCCCAGGGCAGAGCATTTGGATCATCCCTCGGGCACCGATGCCACCTCCCCTCCTGCCCAGCCCTCCCCGGCACGCAGGGACAGCAACCTCGTCACCTGCCTGGTGGCACTGTGCAGGAGCAAGGTACGGCCTCAGGGGTGGCACCTCGGGGGCAGAGGGCACTGCCAGGCCTGTGGCCACCCCCGTGCCCTCCTCCTCTTCCTCGCAGAAGAGCCGGGTGGCGCTGAAGGCTCGGGAGAACGTGCTGCTGCTGGCGGGGCTGTCCCAGGAGGCGGCTGCCACCTGCCTGGTGCGGGGCACTGCCCTCTGCCAGCTGCTCGTGGGGCACCTCTGCGACCTCTACAGCACCGTGCCCGCTGGCACCGACCCTGCTGATGTCCTCGGCATGGACAGGGCCAGCTGGAGGTGAGGGGGTGCCAGGCTGGGGGTGCCAGGTGCCAGCCAGGCGGTGTCACAGCCGCGCGTTGTCTGTGCCATGCAGGTCGCAGGGGGACGGCGCTGGGGACGGGGGGTTCCCGGGCAAGGAGAGCCTGGCAGAGTTCCTGGGCTGGCTGGATTTCCTGGATGAGCTGGTGATGGGTGCCCACCCGGTGAGAAGCACGGGGTTCATTAATCTGGGGGTTAATTGGGGTCTGATCCTTGTCACTGAGTGCCACCTCCAGGGATGGGGATGGTGACACCACCACTTCCCGGGCAGCCCCATTCCCACACCCTTCCTGTGGAGAAATTCTTCCTAATCCAACCTACACCTCCTGGGGTGCAATTTAAGGCTGTGGTTTGTCCTGGGGGGTCCCCACTCTCAGCCCCTTTCTCTTCCCCCCAGCTCGTGGCCGATGCCATCAGCCAGGCCGTGGAGGAGAAGTTCTTGCAGGGCACCCTGCAGCCGCAGCTCCTGCAGATGTGAGTGACCCCAGGACCCCCTCAGAGCCACGAGTGGGGGGTTCCCCTTTCCCTGACCCCAGCTGGGGTGTTCTGCCCCTCAGGACCCCCTCAGGAGTGGGGGGTTCCCCTTTTTTCCCTGGACATCCACCCTGACCCCAGCTCAGGGGTTCTAGGAGCAGGGGGTTCCCCCTTTTCCCTGGACAAACACCCCAACCCAAACTGGGATGTTCTGCTCCTCAGGACCCCCTCAAAACCAGGAAGGGGGGATTCCCTTTTTCCCTGGACAACCACCCCAATCCCAGCTGGGGGATTCTGCTCCTCAGGACCCCCTTGGAGCTGGGAATGGGGAGGTTCCCCCTTTTCCCTGACCAAACACCCCAACCTCAGCTGGGTCAGGACCCCCTCAGAGCCACGAGTGGGGGGTTCCCCTTTCCCTGACCCCATCTGGGTGTTCTGCCCCTCAGGACCCCCTCAGGAGTGGGGGGTTCCCCCTTTTCCCTGGACATCCACCCTGACCCCAGCTGAGGCTTTCTGCTCCTCAGAGTCCCCTCACAGCTAGGAATAAGGGGGTTCCCTCTTTCTCTGTCAACCCCCCCTGCCACCCCACAGGTCGGAGCTGGCCGTGCTGGGCGCCACGGCCGTGCTGACGGGCACGGTGAGGCAGCTCCGCTCTCCCGCCCTGCTCCACCGCCTGGTCCTGTTCCTGCTGGGGCCCCACCGGCACCCCGAGACCCCCGGGGACGCCCCCCATGCCCTGAGGGCGCAGCTCATCGAGCGCTGCGACCACCTGAGCGACGAGGTGAGCCCACCTGGGCTGGGCAGGGGTGTGCAATGCCAGGGGTCTGACCATGCTGGCAATGCCCAGATCAGCCTGCCAGGGGTCTGACCCTGCTGGCCATGCCCAGATCAGCCTGCAGGGGTCTGACCCTGGCACTGCCACCCCAGATCAGCCTGCAGGGGTCTGACCATGCTGGTTGTGCCCAGATCAGCCTGCGTGCGTCTGACCATGCTGGCCGTGCCCAGATCAGCTTGCCAGGGTTCTGACCCTTCTGGCCATGCCCAGATCAGCCTGCCAGGGCTCTGACCATGCTGGCCATGCCCAGGCCAGCCTGCAGGGCTCTGACGCTGGCACTGCCACCCCAGATCAGCCTGGCCAGCCTGAGGCTCTTCGAGGAGCTGCTGAGGAAGCCCCACGAGCACGTGGCTCACAACCTGGTGCTGAGGAACCTGGAGGCCCGGGCGTACCTGCAGCGCGGCGCCGAGGAGCGCGGGCCCCCCGAGACGGACCCCGAGGAGGACGGGCTGTGAGCAAGGGGGGCTGGGCAGGGTCAGGGGGGTGCCCCCCACCCACTGCCCACCCCCCTAATGCTGACCCCACACAGGGAGCTGGAGGAGGATCCCTATTTCACCGATGGATTCCCAGACAGCTTTGGGGTGACAAAAAGTCCTTCACCAGCATCGACCCCGTCGGGGAAGGGGCGAGTGAGTGAGGTGGTGAGCAGGTAAGGGTTTGGAGGGGCTGGGCTGCAATGGGGGGCTGCATCCCCCTCCCCATCTGTAGGAGTGTTGAGGGGGTAGGATGGTGGGGATGGAGGGAGATGAGAGATCTCTGAAGCAAGGTGGTGGAATTTGGGGTTTATTGCAAAGGGCCCAGCTGGGAGCTGCCAGGCACAGCTCAGAGCGGGCCTGAGAGAGAGAAAGAGAGGTAAAGAAAGTGGTAAAGAGGATGAGAGAGCAGGGTTCCTGTTACAGTACAATAAATCTTCTTCTGGACGTGGAATTTGGGGTTTATTGCAAAGGGCCTGGGTGCAGGGGCCTTGTTTGGAGCTGCAGCCACAGCTCAGAGCAGGCCCCAAAGAGGGAGAGAGAGGTAAAGAGAGAGAAGACAAGAGCGTGGTAAAGAGAGAATGAGGGAGTAAAAGAGAGGATCAGAGGCCAAGGTTCCTGTTACAATACAATAAATCTTCTGGATGTGGAATTTGGGGGTTATTGCAAAGGGCCTGGGTGCAGGGACCTTGTTTGAAGCTGCCAGCCACAGCTCGGAGCAGGCCTGAGAGAGAGAAAGAGAGGTAAAGAGAGTGGTAAACACAATGAGAGAGAAAAGTTCCCATTCCAATTCAATAAATCTTCTTCTGGTCATGGAATTTGGGGTTATTGCAAAGGGCCTGGGTGCAGGGCCCTGCTGGGAGCTGCCACAGCTCAGAGCAGGCCTGAGAGAAGAGAGGGGGAGAGAGGATGAGAGGGGAAGAGAGTAAAAGGGTAAGAGAGTGAAGTCCCTGTTCCAATACCATAAATCTTCTTCTGTGTTGAATATTCTAATTCTTACTAACCAATCTAGTACAAGATACAAATCCTACAGCATTTCCATACAGCCTATAAGAATCATTACATTGCCATCCTGTGTTACATTTTAAACCCTAAAAACTCCTCTTTGGGCCCTTCTGCCAAGCTGGCAGGGTCTGCTCTGAGCCTTGGAGCTGTCTGCAAGCAGAGGGTGTTGTTCCATCAAAAGGGGATCACCTTCAGTGGCCACACCATTGTTTTCCAGTTGTTCAGTAACTGAGGGATCTCAAAGCTTGCTTTCATTTCAATCTCACTTATAGTTTCCATATTCTCAAAATACTTTGCCAGACAATCATATTGATAAGTCTTTCCTGTTCCATCTCCCCCAACACCCATCCTCTCTTCCAGCTTCCTGTGCCTGGTCCCTGAGGAGGCCAAGACCTCGTCGTGCATGGAGGAGGGCGGATATGACACCTACGTGCACGATGCCCTGGCCATGGTGGGTGCCATGGTGGGTGCCATGCTGGGTGCCCAGGGTGTCCCCATCCTGCTGCTGGCTGTCCCCACCCTGGCTCTCACCTGCTGTCACCCCTGGGCAGGTGCAGGCGTGCCGTGCCAGCGCTGCCCCGTGGGGGTGGCCCTCGTGCCCCCGGCCCCTGGACTCGTGTCACTGCTGTCACCCCGGTGTGGCGTTTTACGAGGGACATTTCCTCAAGGTGCTGTTTGACAGGATGAGTCGGATCCTGGATCAGGTACTGGGGTACACCTGGGTGCCCCCTGAGCCCCCAGGACCCCCATCATGGGGACAAAGTGGCCAAAAGCATCAGTTTGGTGGGGATGAGGGGATGTTGGGGGCTCACCCAAAGTCCTGAGTGTCCCCCCCCCATCCCAGTCCTACACCCTCCTATGCCCCCCCCAGGGGACAAAATGCCCAAAAGCATCATCTTGGTGGGGGTGAGGGGATGCTGGGGGGTCACCCAAGGTGCTGAGTGTCCCCCCCATCCCAGCCCTGTGTCCCCCAGGACCCCCATAATGGGACAAAGTGCCCAAAAGCATCAGCTTGGTGGGGACGGGCTCAGACCAACGGGATGTTGGGGGGTCACCCAACGTCCTGAGCATCCCCCCCATCCCAGCTCTACACCCCACTGTGCCTCCCAGGATCCCCATCATGGCCAAAGTGCCCAAAAGCATCACCTTGATGGGGACAGGCTCAGAATGAGGGGATGTGGAGACATCACCCAAGGTCCTGAGCATCCCCCCCATCCCAGCCCTGTGCCCCCCACGACCCCCATCATGGGGACAAAGTGGCCAAAAGCATCACCTTGATGGGGATGAGGGGATGCTGGGGGGTCACCCAAGGTCCTGAGTGTCCCCCCCATCCCAGTCCTACACCCCCCTGTGCCCCCCATGGCTCCCATAATGGATAAAATGGCCAAAAGCGTCAGCTTGGTGGGGATGGGCTCAGAATGAGGGGATGTGGGGGGGTCAGCCCTACACCCCCCTGTGCCCCCCAGGACCCCCCCCATCATGGGGACAAAGTGGCCAAAAGCATCAGCTTGGTGGGGATGAGGGGATGTTGGGGGGTCACCCAAAGTCCTGAGTGTCCCCTCCATCCCAGCCCTACATCCCCCTGTGCCCCCCCAGGGGACAAAGTGCCCAAAAGTATCACCTTGGTGGGGGTGAGGGGATGCTGGGAGGTCACCCAAGGTGCTGAGTGTCCCCCCATCCCAGCCCTGTGTCCCCCAGGACCCCCATAATGGGGACAAAGTGCCCAAAAGCATCACTTTGGTGGGGATGGGCTCAGAATGAGGGGATGTGGGGGTCACTCAAGGTCCTGAGTGTCCCCCCCATCCCAGCTCTACACCCCCCTGTGCCCCCCAGGACCCCCATCACGGACAAAGTGCCCAAAAGCATCACCTTGGTGGGGATGAGGGGATGCTGGGGGGTCACCCAAGGTCCTGAGTGTCCCCCCCCATCCCAGCCCTACAGCCTGAACCTGCAGGTGACCTCGGTGCTGTCCCAGCTGGCCGCCTTCCCCCACCCCCACCTGCACGAGTACCTGCTGGACCCCTACCTGAGCCTGGCCCCCGGCTGCCGCTCGCTCTTCTCCGTCCTTGTCAGGGTAATGATGTCACCCTCGGGGGCATGGGGACACGGGGACACTCTCTGGTGTTCGTGATGGTTTGTGGGGGGATCTCAGGGTGCAAAAAACCCACACAGTACAAGGGCGTTTGCTGTAATAATCCAAACAAATGCAGCTTTATTGAGTGACCACAGCAAAATGAGATAGAGGGATTAAGGGGGAGAAAGATGGAGGAAGAGAGAGAGAAAAAAAGAGAGAGAGTGTCACAATCCGTCCTTACAAATGGGGTTTGTGATGGTTCATGGGGCGATCTTAGGGTGCAAAAAGAGCCAACACAGCACAGGGGGGTTTGCGGTGATAATCAAAACAAATGCAATTTTATTAAGTGATCACAGCAAAATGCAATAGAGAGATTAAGAGGGAGAAAAAGGTAGAGAAAGAGAGAGAAAAAAAGAGAGAGAGAGGGTGTCACAATCCGTCCTTACAAACAGGATTTGTGATGGTTCCTGGATTGATCTCAGGGTGCAGAAACCCAACACGGTACAAGGGGGTTTGCGGTGATAATCAAAACAAATGCAGCTTTATTGAGTGGTCACAGCAAAATGTGATAGAGGGATTAAGGGCGAGAGAAAGAGAGAGAAAAGAGAGAGAGAAAGAGGGGGATATAGCTACCAAACGTAGAGATATATTACATTAACACTATACTAAAAAGAATAGAAGGAAAAGTTTCATCTCAGAAGGCTGGCTAAGCTAAGAATAGAAAGGAATGAATAATAAAGGTTTGTGTCTAATACAGAGAGTCCAAGCTAACTGGGCTGGGATTGGCCATTAATTAGAAACATCCAAGATGGGCCAATCCCAGATGCACCTGTTGCATCCCACAGCAGCAGATAACCATTGCTTACATTGTGTTCCTGAGGCCTCCCAGCTTCTCAGGAAGAAAAAACCTTAAGGAAAGATTTTTTAATGAAAAAAAATGTCTGCAGCACTCCCCAATGACGCCGGTGAGGACATGAGGGACATTTCAGGCAGGCTCTCGCAGCGGGTGATGCTCTGCTCCCTCCGCAGGTGATCGGGGAGCTGATGCAGCGGCTGCAGCGCGTGCCCCACGCCAGGGCCAAGCTGCTCCTGGTGCGCCGGCAGCTCCTGGGGCTGGTGCCAGGCGAGCAGTGAGTGCCCCCAAAACACCCTTTTGGGGAGAGGTCTGGCCCCACAGAGCCCCTCAGTCACCGGTGTCCCTGCAGGATGGATCACACCGTGCTGCTCAAGGCCGTGGTGGTGCTGGAGGAGTTCTGCAAGGAGCTGGCGGCCATCGCCCTGGTCAAGGGGCCACCCGAGGGGCCACCCTGAGCCCCTCGCCGAGCTGTCCCTCTTGTGGTGGCCCTGCCCACGTCCCGGTGGCCCTACAGGAGCCAGGAGTGGCCGTGGCTCTGCGGGAAGGACCTGGCAGGAGGATGAGGATGAGGAGGAGGATGAGTCCTTCGCGGTCACCGTGGCCAGCCCCGAGGTGTGGCCACGTCCCCGTGCTGGGCGCGGGGCAGTGGCTGCTGTGGCTCCTCCTGGGTGGTGGTTGCTGCTCCCCACAAGGCTCCAGCAGGGAATTTTTAGGCAATAATGAAGGGGGGGTGTGGGACAGAGCCCCCCCCCCAGCTCAGCTGCAAGGACTCTAGTGTCCCCTGCTCTGGCGCTGTGGCAGGGGGAGTGTGACATGTGTGACATGTCCCCTGCCCTGGCGCTGTGGCAGGGGGAGTGTGACATGTGTGACATGTCTGCGTGTGTGTGTGCGACACGTGTGTGTGCTCTGGTGGGGGACTGTTCCCCCCAGACCCCGCAAAGCCCCTCCCCAGGGTGATGGGACTCTGCTCCAATAAAGCTGTGACTCAGCACCAACGCCTGTGTGCCTTCCCAAACACCCCAAAATTCCATTCTCCATTTCCCCCAAGCCCACTCCCCATTTCCCCCAAACACCCCCAAACCCCACTCTTCATTTCCCCCAAACACCCCAAAATCCCACCCACTATTTTCCCCCAAACATCCCTAAAACCCCACTCCCTATTTTCCCCCAAACACTCCCAAACCCACTCCCGTATTTTCCCTTAAACCCATTCCCCATTTCCCCCAAACACCGCCAAACCCACTCCCCATTTTCTCCCAAACCCCCCAAACCCCATTCTGCATTTTCCCCCAAACCCACTCCCCATTTTCCCAAAAAAACCCCAAACCCTATCCCCATTCCCCCCCAAACCCCGCTCCCCACCACAGCCCGGACACAGAATCAGCAGCAGCAGCAGCCAGGTTTATTTTATTTTATTTCTGCTCCCAGCACCCCCATCCAGCACATCCCTGGGCCCCCCCTTTGCCCCCTCCGAGCCCCCCAACCCCAATTCCCATCTCTCCATCCCTAACTCCGCACGGGCACGGCTGCCCGGATCCTCTGCAGGACGCAGCCCCGCAGCTCCTCCCGCACCGGCCACAGTTGGAACGGGCTGGGGGGGACACTGAGACCCCCGAGGGTCTCAAATACCCCCAAACCCACTCCCCATTTCCCCCCAAACACCCCTAAAACCCCACTCTTCATTTTCCCCAAACACCCGCAAACCCACTCCCGTATTTTCCCTTAAACCCATTCCCCATTTCCCCCAAACACCGCCAAACCCACTCCCCATTTTCTCCCAAACCCCCCAAACCCCATTCTGCATTTTCCCCCAAACCCACTCCCCATTTTCCCAAAAAAACCCCAAACCCTATCCCCATTCCCCCCCAAACCCTGCTCCCCACCACAGCCCGGACACAGAATCAGCAGCAGCAGCAGCCAGGTTTATTTTATTTTATTTCTGCTCCCAGCACCCCCATCCAGCACATCCCCGGGCCCCCCCTTTGCCCCCTCCGAGCCCCCCAACCCCAATTCCCATCTCTCCATCCCTAACTCCGCACGGGCACGGCTGCCCGGATCCTCTGCAGGACGCGGCCCCGCAGCTCCTCCCGCACCGGCCACCAGCGCAGCGCGGGGTCTCGGGGCTCGGGCGGCCGCTCCCGCTGTCCCCCCGTCTCCACGCTCAGCAGCACGTTGAAGCAGATGCCATCGGTGTCCCCAGCGTCGCCGGGGCTGTGCTGCAGCCCCAGCAGCCCCAGAGCCGCGGGCCGCGCCTCCCAGCCCAGGCGCTCCCGCAGCAGCCGCAGCAGCGGCGGCCGCAGCCCCGCTCGCAGCTCGGCCGGCGATGTCCCGCACGCCACCACGGGCAGCTGCGGGGTGGCAGCGGCGGCCAGCAGCAGCCACAGCTCGCCCGAGGCGTTGGAGAAGGGCAGCAGGAGGCGCAGGCAGAGCGGGGAGCAGGGCAGCTCCCGCGGCAGCGTCGGGGGATGCGCGGGGCTGCGGCGGTAGCGGGCGGCGAGCTCCAGCACGGGCAGGATGTCCGCGGAGCGCAGCGGCAGCGAGCGCGGGTCCCCGCGCCACCAGGTGGCTTGGAGGGACTCGGAGTCAGCGTCCTGCAGGGTCTTCAGGGTCCCACCTGAGGGCACGGGGGGGGGGGCACGGAATGGGGGACAGCGGGAAGGGGCTGGGGGGACACCGAGACCCGCGAGGGTATCGAACAGCCCCAAACCCACTCCCTGTTTTCTGCCAAACACCTGCAAACCCACTCCCCATTTCCCCTAAACACCCCTAAACACCTCCAAATGCACTCCCTGTTTTCCCCCAAACACCCCCAAACCCCACTCCCTAATTCCCCTAAACACCCCCAAACCCACTCCGTTTTCTGCCAAACCCACTCCCCATTTCCCCCAAACACCCCCAAACCCACTCCCTATTTTCCCTCAAACACCCCCAAACCCACTCCCTATTTTTCCCCCAAACCCCATTCCCTATTTTCCCCCAAACACCCCCAAAACCCCACTCCCCATTTCCCCTAAACACCCCAACACCCCACTCTGTATTTTGCCCCAAACCCACTCCCCATTTTCCCCCAAACACCCCCAAACCCACTCCCTATTTTCCCCCCAAAACCCCCCACTCCCCATTTCCCCCAAACACCCAAAACTCCATTCTGCATTTCCCCCCAAACTCACTCCCCATTTCCCCCAAACCCACTCCCAATTTTCCCCCAAACACTCCCAAACCTACTCCCTATTTCCCCTATTTTCCCCCAAACACCCCACTCTGCATTTTCCCCCAAGCCCACTCCCTATTTTCCCCCAAACACCCCCAAACCCCACTCCCTATTTCCCCGAAGCACCCCTAAAACCCCATTCTGCATTTTCCCCCAAACATCCCCAAACCCCACTCTCTATTTTCCCCTAAACACTTCCAAACCCCACTCCCCATTTCCCCTAAACACCCCAAAACCCCACTCTGCATTTTCCCCCAAACCTATTCCCAATTTCCCCTATTTTCCCCCAAACACCTCACTCCCCATTTCCCCCAAACACCCCAAAACCCCACTCCCTATTTTCCCCCAAAACACCCCCAAACCCACTCCCCATTTCCATGGCTCAGAGGGGACACTGGTGTGGCTCTGAGACCCCCAAGGTGGCCCCAGAGGGGACACTGGTGGGACATTGAGACCCCCTAGGTGGCCTCAGAGGGGACATTGAGCCCTGTGTGGCGGTTAGGGGGTGGTGGCAAGGGACAGCGGTGGCCTGGCACAAAGGTGGCAGGGGACACTGATCCCTGGGCACAGGAGGGGTGGGGACACTGATACCCACCATGGGGGTGCCAGGGGACACTGATGCCCATCACAGGGGTGCCACTTGCCATCATGGGGCTGGCAGGGGACAGGGACACCCATCATGGGGCTGGCAGGGGACACTGATTGCCACCCTGGGGCTGGCAAGGGACAGGAATTCCCATCATGGGGCTGGCAGAGGACACAGATACCCATCATGGGGGTGCCACTTGCCATCATGACACTGGCAGGGGACAGAGATAAACATCATGGGGATGGCACTTCCTATCACGGGACTAGCAGGGGACACTGATACCCATCACAGGGCTGGCAGGGGACAGGGATACCCACCATGGGGTTGGCAGGGGACAGGAATTCCCATCATGGAGGTGCCACTTTCCATCATGGGGCTGGCAAGGGACACTCATATCCACCAAGGGGCTGGCAGGGGACATGGATACCCATTTAGGGGGTGCCAGGGGACAGGGACACCTATCATGAGACCGGCAGGGGACAGGGATACCCACCATAGGGCTGGCAGAGGACACAGATACCCATCATGGGGGTGCCAGGAGACAGGGATAAACATAATGGGGGTGTCACTTGCCATCATGAGGCTGGCAGGGGACACTGATACCCATCATGGGGTTGGCAGGGGCCAGGGATACCCACCATGAGACTGTCAGGGGACAGGGATACCCATCACAGGGGTGCCACTTGCCATCATGGAGCTGGCAGGGGACAGGGACACCCATCATGGGGGTGCCAGGGAACAGGGACACCCATCATGGGAGTGGCAGGGGACAGGAATACCCATCACAGAGGTGCCACTTGCCATCATGGGGACAGGGACACGCATCATGGGGGCGCCACTTCCCATCACGGGACTGGCAGGGGACACAGATATACACCATGGGGGACACTGATAGCCACCATGGGGTTGGCAGGGGACAGGAATAAACATCACAGGGCTGGCAGGGGACACAGATACCCACCATGGAACTGACAGGGGACAGGAACACCCACCATGGGGATGCCACTTTCCACCCTGGAGCCAGCTGGGGACACTGATACCCACCACGGAGCCAGCTGGTGACGCTCCCCCCGTGCCCCCCGTGCCAGCACACACCTGTGGCCCGTGCCAGGAAGGAGAAGCGGATCCAGGCGGGGCCGCGCTCCTCCAGCGCCAGCAGCGTCTCGGGCTCGCAGAGCAGCCCCGACTCCTCCCGCACCTCCCTGCGCAGCGCGGCCACGATGGGCTCGCCCCGCTCCACCCGGCCCGCGGGCAGGTACCAGAGCCCGCGGCACTCGGGCTTGGCCTCCTGCACCAGCAGCAGCGAGCCCTGGGGAGGGACAGGGGAAAGGGGGATGGAATGGGGTACTGGGGATGGAATTGGGGTACTGAGCCCCTGGGCAGGTACCAGAGCCCGCGGCACTCGGGCTTGGCCTCCTGCACCAGCAGCAGCGAGCCCTGGGGAGGGACAGCGGGATGGAGTGGGGTATGAGGGGAAAGTGGGGCTGGAATGGGTTATGGGAGGCTGCACTGGGGGTACTGGGGGGATTGGGAGGATGGAATGGGGGTACTGGGGGGCTGGAGTGGGGGTACTGGGCCCCTGGGCAGGTACCAGAGCCCGCGGCACTCGGGCTTGGCCTCCTGCACCAGCAGCAGCGAGCCCTGGGGAGGGACAGGGGAAAGGGGGATGGAATCGGGGCTAGAATGGGGGTACTGGGGATGGAATTGG